CTACCTGTTTAAATTGTAGCACAATTTGTAAAGTCGTAGCTCGTCCGCTGCTTTGGTTGTTTGTTAATGAGGAAAAGATATGTGGGAGAGTAAACCTAACAACTGAATTTTGGACCGTCCATTCTATTAATTCGTAAATCAGACTGACTATTGAACTTGATAGTATGTCACTATTTTGGACCTGGGGAAGAAGTTACGTAAATAATTATGTTGGTACCGTTAGTGCGTGCATCGTATAGGGTTTTCTATATTTTGACTTCGTTGCTTCTTTTTAGTCCTCCGAGTTACCTGATTTATAGAACTTTATATCTGACCTTCCTATAGTGCGAATCCATTTTCTGAAAGGTTTTGTATCCTTTCAGGTCTCGGACCGCTGTTGCCCCTTTGGAGCGTCTGAAGATATTACTACAGGTTTGTCTAGTTTATTCATGATTAGTTGATCATTTTGTTCACATACACACGACGCATATATGCATGGGCACAAAGTAGGATATACATAGCTACAATCTCTTATTTAGCTCCTTCGACAAACAGGTCCAGAATCCTCATAGTATAAAATATAATGGAACGATACAAGGGTTGAAATATATTTGGAGAACTGAGGGATTTCGAGGACTATTCAAAGGCAATGGTACAAATTGTGCCCGTATAGTACCAAATTCAGCAGTAAAATTCTTCAGCTATGAGCAAGCTTCTCAGTAAGTTTTCTTCTCTAAGTCAATGTTCTGGCATAATAATGCACGATATTCAGCTTCAATTTTGTCTTCAGAGATGGATAGCTTTAGTGATTTAAGTTAAATCTGATGCACTTGTTGGATGGGTGCCGTGGTTTATTTCTAGCCGGTGGTAAAAAGTACCTATGAACCTTGGTTTTATGTCACTGATCACTGATGAGTAGTGGCTCGATTCCATTATTCTTGCTTGATTAGAGCACAGTGAATCTAGCTAAAAGCAATAGTTATTATTATTCTTCTTCTTCTTCTTATCCACAAAATTATTATTATTATTATTTTATTTTATTTTTTAATTTTCCCATTATTGTTGCTTGATCATTTTTGAGAGAGACCGATTTCATAGAGTGCTATGAATCTCCCAACACAGTGTATCATTTTGGACTAGGGTTACTAGGACAATCTAATTGCTGAAGGTGGAAGATGGAAAAAAGTATGATCGATGATTTGCATAACCATTCATACTTGTTGGCCATCTTACTAATATGTCAATAAGGACCCGTTTGGTAACGTTCCTGTTTCTTATTTTTGTTTCTTAAAAATGTATTGCATGGTTCCAATATCTAAAAATTCAAATTCAAGTATGATAAAACAATCTTTTTATTTACGTTTTGGAACAAATTGAAAATAGGAACAAGAAAGGAGAAACTTGTTTTGGTTGTTTCCAAAATTTTTTATAGAATTGTGAGAATGTTCTAAAAAAATGAGTAACAAGAAACAAAATTAGTTGTAAAGTGCTTAAATTTCTTAAAAAAATTGGAAACGAGAAACAAGAAACATGAATATTACCAAATGGGCCCTAAGGAACCAACCATACATCTTGGATGCAGATCTCCTTAAATGCCATAATTTTCTCTTTAATATTTGCTGAATTGCTAATATTTATTTTGTTTTCCATCGACAGGGGAATACTGTATTTCTACAGGGAGCAGACTGGTGACCGTAAGTCCATATTGGCCACCATATATCATTTTTGTAATATGATTTGTGACCTGCTCGTGCTAGCTATTATGACAACCACAACAATTCCTACCCCTCCTGCCCAAATCTCAATCTAACTGCTTTGTTATTATTTTTGCAGAAAATGCTCAACTCACTCCTCTCCTACGTCTTGGTGCTGGAGCTTGTGCTGGAATAATTGCCATGTCAGCAACTTACCCTATGGACATGGTGCGAGGCAGACTAACTGTGCAGGTACTTGTCCTTGGTTTCTTGCCCTTTGTATGGTGATATATTCTTGATGGGTTTCCAAGTCTGTATTCATGGCCGAGTGTCTGTAATCCCAGAAAATGGATTGATGCGGCAATACAACTTTATATTTTGTGACATTTTTTTTTTCCAATAAAATTGAGATTTCCTTTATTTTCCTTTTCTTTTTTCCAGACAGATAAGTCTCCTTACCAGTATAGAGGAATATTTCATGCTCTTTCAACAGTGCTCCGGGAAGAAGGTCCAAGGGCTTTGTACAAGGGTTGGCTTCCTTCTGTCATTGGTGTTGTAAGTTCATTATTATTATCTTTTTAAATATTTGCTGTCATTATAAGTATTTCTGTGGTGCGGTGATGAGGTTCTTGCTCACTTAGAGGCTGGAGATGATAATGTGTCAATTGAGTGAAGCAAAGCACACTTGAAAAAAAAAGAAATATTGTAGACAGCAATCTTTTGTATCATTAGAAATAGGTAACTAGTTTCTTTAATTTCTAGAAAATATTGCATATTTTATTACTCTTTTATATGAAAATATCATAAACTATATTAAATTTTTAGCATGGGGATTATTGAAATGTATAATAATAATAATTATATATATTTTAATTGATGGGCCTTTGCCATTTCATGTCCTAGGTTTTTAGAATATAATGAATCATGTCCGTGCTTCTTTGATGTCATCTTTCCTTTCCATCATCCTAAATTCATTTACTAAGGAGCAATTACTACTAGTTTAATTTATTGTCTTAATGCTATGAAACTTGTTTGGATTACAATTTTTGGTTTATAGAAGGTACATTGTTCATATACTTTGTGCATGAAGTTTAAATTAAACATGTTCCATTTTGCAGGTTCCGTATGTGGGTCTTAACTTTGCTGTGTATGAATCACTTAAAGATTGGTTAATAAAAAACAAACCACTTGGACTTGTTGAAGATTCAGAGCTCAGTGTAACAACACGCCTAGCATGTGGAGCTGCTGCTGGTACAGTTGGTCAAACTGTTGCTTATCCTCTTGATGTCATTCGTAGAAGAATGCAGATGGTGGGCTGGAATAATGCTGCTTCTATAGTCACTGGTGATGGAAGAAGTAAGGCATCCCTCGAATACACTGGCATGGTCGATGCTTTTAGAAAAACTGTTCGTTATGAAGGCTTTAGAGCATTGTACAAGGGTTTGGTCCCCAACTCAGTGAAGGTTAGGCATGCTCTTCCTCTCTACTTGTTTATATTAATATGATGCATTATCTAAAAGTTGACTGATTGGGTCTAATTCTGAATTTGATGGTATGATTGAAAGGTTCTGTATACTGAGTTTGGGGGATCGATGAGGTCTTAGTCTTATTTATTTGTTTGACAAATGGTTTTAAAAGTTATTAGTCATGAATGCCGATGGATATTGGTTTTCTATAGACAATCTTCAAAGATTATATCTGCAACTGTTTTTTGGACAAGGACAACCCAATTAAAGAATCTCCAATTACTTAGAGTTAACAAGATTTCCCCTTGGTTGGAATTGTAGCTTTGTTAATTTCAAGTACAGGTATACAAATAAGGTAAAGCTATACATCGTGGAACTCAAATAGAGAGATTCAGGTTCTTGTCACCTATAACTCAAACCAAAGGGATAGTAGCCACTCCTCACCAGCAGCAGTTATTTTAATTACCTCGAACGTTTGTTTTAAAAGCTCCACAAACCATAAGAACAGTGACGAATTGAGATTATCTTAACCTCAAAGCATGTGTTGATTACTTTGAAAACATGTTGCATGTAATATTATTTTTTGCTCTCAAGTTTGATATCTTTTTTTTTTTTTTTTTTATGGAAGAAAAATAACGTGGGAGTTTGGGGGCCAGAGCTTCATCTTGATCATTATACGTAATTGTTTGATCTTACATTCTGACTTTGAGAAAATGTAGGATATCTAATATCCTTTATGGATGGTTAGCAGGCATATTGGTTTATAGCTTGCCACTTTATTCAATGGGTCAACATATAATGGTTGCTTCTAACTTATACTCGTTTCCCCAACTATCAACTTTTTATTTATAAAATGAAAAGATACAAAATTACTCGCCAGTTGCCACATGAAAATCACTGGGGAGCTATTAAAGAACTGCCTCCAACCAGTAAGAATGAAAAAAAATCATAACTAAAAAAGGAGGAAAGAAAACTCCAAGTAAATTTTAGTCTCTCCTGTTTGGATAATATCTGTTTGTTTTTTGTTCGTACTTTCTGAATTCATACTGGAGTTTCCAGTGGCAGCACATATGCAGATTAAAATATAGTTGAGCTGCTTGAAGTTGTACTCACATCATCTGTGTCTGATGGACAGTTTTGATTCGGTCAAATTATAATCTTAAGATTGTTGTTGATGTTTATTGTAAATGCTGCCGATTTATATCCCATTTAAATTAGAAGCATGGATATGTGGAATTGCATCCCTTCGTGGTCCCTTCTTTTAAAATTTTCGCATTGTATTATTTTTAAAAAGTTGGTGTACAAGCATTTCTTTTAGAGTGGTATATATCATTCCTGGCTTAAATTTGACGAGCATAATTATTACAAGTTGATTTACGAATTGACTTTAATGGTTTTTACTGGATGAAGGATATTTTCTGATTCGTCTGCTGCCTTGTTCAGGTTGTCCCATCAATTGCAATCGCATTTGTGACATACGAAATGGTGAAGGACGTTTTGGGAGTCGAGATCAGAATCTCGGACTGATTATTGGGTACTAACTTACATTTGTTGAACGGTCTGCTATTTTTGTAGGCAAGGGAGGGATGGTAAACTAGGATGTCTTAATTATTCTCTTTCCAAGAACTAGTTTAAGGCAGTATTGAGTGTGTTTATAATTTGCATCCCTGATTTTAAATATCTTTCTACAAACGCATGCTAGCATAAGCTTTTATTCTTATGCTATGTCCAATAAATGTTTTGACAATAGAATAAGCACATTTTAATGCCTCCGCTAGATTTGGGAGAGCAGAGGTTTTAATGATTCTAGTTTTCAATTACGTGCTATTCTTTCCCCCGCGCTCTTATGTGATGGGACTTCGATATGGTCCTTAAGATGGCTCTGTTTGCTTTGCGTAAAGATACAGGAACAGTGCATGTAGTGGCAATATCCATAATTTCATCTATTGGTTTCTTCCCTCTGCCTTTTATATATCGCTTTCTTCACTTACATGCGTTCAAATATTATGGTTGAAATGCAAACTTTTGAACATCCTTTGCTTTGAATTCTTTCATTGATTGTATTTTCTGCAGGATTTGGTTCTGTCACACTCATGTAGATAGGCAAGTTATTTTCGAAATCCAGGTCCTTCGATTTCCGCAAGTAATTTTGCCCAATGAAGATAATATTGACCACATTTTTTTTAGTACAATGAGGCTATTCTAACCCTAAGTGGAGTTATATATCTTTACGGTTTGGTATGCATTCTATATTTCCAAATGAGAATTTAAGGTACAATGACACGGTTGGTCAAGACACAACCTTTGAAGTTTTTGAATATAAGACAAATTTCTTTACTCCTTGGTAATTTAATGTAGTAGGGTTAGACGATTGTCCCATTAGATTAACGACAAACGTCTTTATTGAAAATTGGGTTAGAGCCTAAGTATGTTAGTTGTTAAGCTATAATAATGGAAAATTTTTGTATGAGTATGATTCTATTCACCATTATTTATGCCTGTTTTATGAAGGATAATGAAAGTAATAGGGCTATTCAAAGATATAGGCCACAAGCATCGAAGAAGTCAAAATTACAAAAAGGGAAAAATGGTAAAATCAAGCCAAATAAGAAGAGCAAAGAAGAATTTCAACATCACTTGAATAGCGGCAACAAATCTTCATGTTTCTTCACTGTCTTCTTATTCGACTGCTTCACATTTTTCTGCCATGCCTGTGAATAATAATTGCCATTTGAAGCTTTTCTTTCTAAAGAACATGCACATGGAGTAGATGAATTGTAAAAAGAGGAAGAACCTGTGATCTTTTATTGTTGTATGAAACCTTTGAGGTATTCGTCGACCTTCAGGCCTCGATTCAATTACGTCTTTCTTTTTTACGCTCGATCGTGCAGTATTACAAACTTTACTAGTTTCAAGCTCTTTCATTCTCAACTCACCATTGTCACCGTTTGAATCTTCATCCGAATTGGAAGGAACCAATGATAAAAGCACAAGTAGAAGATTCAATTCCGGTAGAAATGACGAATTCGATACTGGGTCTTGACTGTCTCCTCCTCCAGCTTCTCTCCATTCTTGTTCTTCTTTAGTGTCTGCTCCATTTCCTGTCGCTCCTCCCACCATTTTTTACTTTAGATCTGTAACGTGTTTCACAAACAAACGGCATTATGTTCTTTAGAAACACAAGTCAATGAGACATTTTGGGAAATAAAGAGAGAAAAAGAAAAAACTGACATAAATTTTTGGAAGCAAAATTTTTCCCTGTTCCCTTGTTGATCAATAGGGAAGGTTTGGACCACAAAGTCAAAACCTTCACAATATTTAGCTTGAAGTTCTCCTATTGCTTTAATGGTTCTTTTTGGTTGTGAATTGGTCTAATGGGATTAGCTAATTAAGGTTTATCGTTAATTTAATGCTATTGTTAAATTTAGTCAATGCTAAAACCTGATACTCTTGACTTTTTTAGACTGATAATTAAACAAACAAAAAAAAAATCATATGTAAAAATAAGTTTTGAAAATAATTATTCAAACATAATTTTACTTAAATTTTGTTTAAAAAATAGAAAGCTATAAAAATAGCTCTTAAATTACTAAACTTTCTAAAGTGTAACAAAAGGAAAATTTTAATAGAGGAGAAAATATTTTTAGATATTTAGTTTAAGAACGTGAGGTTTCTTTATTCTACTTGATTTAGAATTCTTTACACAATCGTTAAATTTCATGTGAAAAGCACTACTTTTTTAAGAGTTTGAGGCGAGTAAAAGAAAAGGTTTACACACGATTTTATTCACGTTTAAGCTGTATTTTAAGTTTTTTTTTTAATTTAAAAATAGTTTTAAAATAATTTCAAATATAAGAATATATAAATCTTGTCTTAAAAAAAATATTGGATGGTCATTTTTTAAAATTATCTCTTAAGATGATTTTAGATAAATAGCTTCTTAATAAATGGTCTGGGAGACCAGTAGACCACCCACCTACAAATAATATATTTTTTTTTCCAAAATCAAGTGTATGTTTTTAAAGAACAAAAATTATTTGAATTAAATAAGATGTTCTATTATTAGGAGTGTTTTTTAAATTACATTTTTTAACTGCTACGCTTAAAAGAACAAAAAACCCTCGGACTACAATTATATACTAATTTAAATTGTAATAAATTAAAAGGTTAATAACAAAATAAAAACGGTTAAATTATACAAAATACTGCTGAACTTTTAGTGGAGTTTCAATTCTAGTTGATTGTTTCAAAAGTTTTGATTTTACACTTTAAATTTGTTTAAAAAATACTCTCATTTGAAATAAACAATTCTTAGAGAAAACAAAATTCTTAAATGGTAAGCAAACCATGGATGATGAAGAAGATATGAGGCCTCAATTTCCACTATTAATTGACAAAAAATAGAGCCACCAAAAGAGCTATAAAACAGACAAAATTAAAGACTAGAGTTGTCTATCTATTTATTAATTGAGATTTGTGTCTTTATCTATTTTATAGCTCGTTGTCACATTATTGTCACATCATATTTTCGTAATTAGTTAATAGTTGTAACATTTAAAAAAAAAGAATTTTAACATTAAGACTTTTGAAACAGAAGCATAATTAAAATTTATTATAAAGTTCAAGAGTATAATTGAAATTATCGATTCCTATTCCCTCATATGCTCTCTTTTATAATTCACCATTACAATTTTCATTGTTAAAAAAAGAAAAATTGGGTAGAATTTAAACTTTTAGAATGATGGAACAGAGAAACTCTCAAGTTAAAATTTTTGGACATTATGTTTCTTTGGGCCATAAATTTGCTCAAGTTGTCGAAGGTGCATCATTCATCATCCATCGGTAATTTGAACAGATTCAAGTTTCTTCCACAGGGCATGGAACAAATTGATTAATCATGTTTCTGATTTTACATTTTAGGAACTCATGGAAGACGAGGASATGTCGTTGTTTCTTGTTTCTTGCCACTTTATTGTATTGTAGCTGAATGGTGATGGTACAATATTTCATGCCAAGTTTAAATCATTTCTCATTCCAAATGTTGAAATCTGTAGTAAGGCAATACATCTCAAATGAACTCTGGTTCTAACAAAAATTTAATAAACTTTCGAATCTTGCTTCCATTTCCATGTATTCTTGACCTTCCCCCTTCCATTTCCAAACCCATTTTCATGGGTGAACACAGCATAGTCGTCTTCTGTAGTGGATTGCAGAACTCTAATCTCTTCATTTGCTTTGCTTTCCTTCAGGTGCTCATTAGCTCAAGTTAGAATTCAAGATAGACAGCAAAACTTTGAAAGAAATATACTACTTGACAGCAATTCTTTCCCCACTTTCAGAATTTTGACTCATCTACTGTTCTTTCATAAGGCTGATTATTCCTAGTTACAAAACATGGTGAATCATTCTAAGCTGTGAAACGCTGCTCCATGTCCTTTCCCACCCACCACCCATCAAGGGAAGAAGAAATTTCTTGTGAACCCCATAGTTCATTCAGGCCTTATCAGGGAAACATTTGAATGAGCAATGCCTTAAATCACTGAGGTCGTCAGCTCCATCAATACTTCTTCCTTGGTTTCTAGGATAGCTCAGAATCTGAAGCATGGCCACATGATCTTCTAACCTTTGGACTCAATGCCATAAGCTGGCTTTCAGAATTCATTCGCATACTACGCCCGCGAGGACTAATTTGTGGAGGCCTTGAAGATCGTCCTTTTGGTGTACCTGTGTTGTGGAGTCAACTTGAAGTTAGTTTTAGAACTTAAGAGCACTTTAATCATTTGTTATATTGATTGACTTCAGTTTACATCATTTATGAAGACGAAACAGAAACGCTCATTAGTTCAAATTACAACCAGTTTGAGATTCAGGTATGTATTCTATTGCAATTCGTGCAGGTGAGTCTAGAAGATCTATTGAAGATTAAGAGAGTGTTACTTCTCCATTCATGCGCAACTGTTCATTGTTTAATCTTTGTGATCTGTTGATTCTAAGTGCAGTGTTCAGTTTATTTTAGCTTCAGTAATTATAACTCTTAAACTAGACAAAATAGATGATATTTCAACAAGAAAGTAAGCATTAGAAATAACGAGGAGAACCTGGTAGCTTGTTCAGTTTATTATCAGAAGAGTTCTTCGTCAACGAAAGCCTCCGGCCTGTGCTCATTCCTTCACGTGGAGCTGGTAATCTTTTCTCAGTAACCGTTTGGAAAGGATCATCTACTGATGATGCAGATTCATCCCCACATGCTGAGGCACCATCACTTCCTGATTCTGAAGTATCTTTAGTACTGCTTGTACCGGATTTCTGTTTTTCTACGATTCTGTAAACAAACATCTGAAATGGGATATCTAATATTGTTGATGATGCATCACACCTTCCCCAAGATGGCGGCAACTTCCTCAACAAACCTGATTCAATGTCACAGTAATCTACTATTGGCGTAGCAGGATCTGTCTGACTATTATAATCAGGATGCAATGCTACAAATCGCTTTGTGTACCGAAGAATCCTACAAATGGACGAGAAGCTCGGCCTTTGATTCGGGTCGGTATGCCAGCATCTCTTGGTCAAGTTCGTCACATATTTTGGCATACTATGGGGAAAAAGTGGCCTCTCCCCTGCTCTAATGTTTCGGCTCATCTTGTCCCCTTGAAGATGGCTATCCTCAAAAGGGACTTTCCCAGTCAGAACCTCAAAACAAACCATGCCAAAGCTGTATACATCGGACTTCTCAGTATACTTGGAACTCTCGGTGGTTCCTGATTGATCCTGCTCTTCTAAAACTTCTGGAGAATGCCATATGAATGGGAGGGCTTCGTTTTGATTTGAGGAGTTCTTGAACTTGACAACAGGTAGGCCAAACCCAGAGACCTGAGCATGCACGTACCCGTCAGTAGAATAAGCTCTTGGCTTAATCAGAATGTTACAAGGATTCAAATTCCCGTGGTAGATTTTATTTGAGTGGAGATATTCCATTCCTCTTGCAATTTGAAGCATCAAATCTAGAGCTACAGGAAGGGTAAATGGAATTCTCTTACGAGGGCCACAAATCTCCTTTACGTAGCTCGACAGGTCTCTACTCATAAGTTCCATAATCAAGAAACACTCTTTCTTTTCCTCATCAGTAAACCCACAAAGAAATCTTGTTATGTTTGGATGGGAACGAGATAACAGCGTGGAGATCTCTGGAATTAAGGATTCAATTTCCCCAAAAAAATGTTTCATGGCAAAGCTTTCCCCTAACCAGAGTATCTCTTTGTATTGACTCCCACCCCCTAATCGTCTCCTCACCTGGTAGTCCCTTGATCCTACTAGCATTGAACTTGGCAACAGCTTTCCATTCAAAGACTCTAACCCATCTAAGTTTTTAAGTAGAAGATCCGTTAGTCGTTGCTCATACTTGGATGAAGCTGTGAATTTCTTCTCCCGGATCTTACTGAGTAGAACCCATCTATCTTCTTTCCAAACCGCATCGACCCGATTGCAGAAATCCTGAGTAATCAGGTATTGCTTCCCATATTTCCACCGGAAAATCTTCAAATCCTTGTTTTCATTCCTGTATTTGGTGGAGTTTATTATCCTCTTCTTCGCCATCTCATGGTGATCGCAACCAGAGATTTCTCCTGCTGTTTCAAGGGCTTCAACGACAACCGAGATGCAGTACAACAAATTGTGAATATGAAATTCGATGCAATCGGTGTTCTGATATAGCATGATGGCTTTTGCCCACCAATCCTTGGTTTCCAAACACTGCCTAATGTACCATTCTGCTTCTTTGAATACCCTGTTCAGGTCTCTCAATGGCAGGTCCAAAACCTTCCATCTCGTGTGCTTCTCTTCGAATCGAAGATTTTGCTTCATCTCCTCCGCCACTGAATCATACGCAAAGCACAGAACATCAAACAATAAAGAGCACTGCCGCTGATTTACATGAATGCTATCTCTGAATAGCATTAGGGCCTTTAGACTTCCCAAGGCCTCTCCGAGCTGCCGAAATTGCTCCATTTTAGAACTCAATCACATGTGCTGATAATAAATTTTTAGGGAAAATCAATCGTCTCACGCAAACACAATATCAATCTCAGATCAAGGGAGCGTGGAAATGAAGCGAACAACATACCAGCAATTGCAGTCGACCTCGAGACCCCTTATAGAAGAATCGACAAGAAACCAAGATTCTGCCCTAGCCCTCAGAATTAGGAACGAAATTGAGCAGAATCAAAACCAACCTATCAAAGACCCAACAATCCAGTGGTGGTCGGAGAAAAATCTTCCACCAGAATGTGAAAATCCGCCCAAATTTGTGGAAACGGAGAGGGAAGTAAGGTGGTTGTTTGTTCGGATCAATGGATACGAGAGACGAACAGAAAAGGGTTATTGGACGAGGCAAGAGAAGGAAGAAATGAGAGAAAATGAACGGGGGAAAGTGAAAATTCATGTTGGAAAATGAGTTTAAGAAGTGGGAATGGCGAGAGCCCAACACTTGTCCAGATTTGGCGAGGTTGAACAATGGTGGAGGATGCTCGAATGGGAATTTCCCGCGAATTTCGATGGCCATACTTCCCAATTTGCAGCAGCTCTTATTATAGTAACTACATTTTTCAACTGTTTTCTTTCTTATTTAACCCCACCTTCTTCTTCCCTTCTCTTTTACATCATCTCCACAATAAAATATCAGTACTTTTTGTAAATAAATCATCAAAATTAACATCATTTTGGATTTTTTTTGGGCCGAGATCGAACCTTCGAATTTTAAAAATTTTATCAAACTGGTGAGAAACTAGAAACAATAGAAAATATCAAATCAATGCTGTAAAGTAAATTATAAGTTAAGAAACCCATTAAAAAGTTAATTAGTAGTTAAGACATCTCTTAGATAGTCTCTAGTTATAACCTTTATTCTCTGTGATTGTTTTTTATTATAATAAATGTGAAATACGAGAATTTGAATCCTCTATTTTAATAGAAAGAATAGATGTTACCTATCATTGAGATAGGTTCGTATTGACATCTCTACTCCTTATATAGTGTAATATTTCAAAATATATTGAAAAGACGATAGTTGGTATATATCTCCAACTAGGAGGTTGTGAGTTTGATACCTACCCCAATACTAAAAATAATAATAATAATAAAATCACTAAGCAATTTGTAAATAATAATAATAGCCATTTTCAGACATCGGGCACAATAGAGCTCCGGCGGCCCAACCCATATTGTACTGGGCCAAGAAGCCCAAGGTTGTGAACTGGCAGTGCGCAAGTTAGCATTGATCAGAAAGAAGTCTTTACGAACGAACCGTGAATTCAATTGCTTCCATCCACTCTCATTTTCACACAAAATTTCCGGGAAAATTCATTTCCTTTCCTTTCCCTCTCTTTCTTTCTTCTACCCATTTGAAAGGGCTTCCGCGCCAGACCCAGACCCAGATTATAGATAACAATTTTTACCTCTTCCACCTTAATTCATTGTCCAGCCCTAATTTTCTTAACAATATGCCGAGGGAGATCATCACTCTGCAAGTTGGACAATGTGGGAACCAGATCGGCATGGAGTTCTGGAAGCAGCTCTGCCTCGAGCATGGAATCAGCAAAGATGGCATTCTCGAAGATTTTGCTACTCAGGTCTCTGCTCTGCTTCTCTTCTTCCTGTTTTGCTTGTTAATTAGTTCATAGTGTGATGTATTGTGCACGTGGCTGTCTGTTTGATTGCTGAGAAAATCGGGAAGAAATAACGAAATGAACAGTATAGGCACTTTTCGAATTTGTTTTTTTTTTCTCTTTTTGTAATACTTTAGGAGATAAGTGGGAAATGGCCTAAAGGTTGTAACAAGCAAGAATTGCATGGTGATCGTGAACATGAACTTGCGCGAAGGGGTTAACTGGGGCATTGGGGGGAGAGAGGTGTTAGTTTTATGGGGCATCAAGCATTGTAATTTATCATACCCTTGGTTGAAGATTCTCGGGTTTTCATTTTAGTTCCGTTATTAGTGTTCAACTGACGTGGTCTTGCTCCACTTTTACCTGCACCTCAGAGTTCATAGATTTCTTAGCAATATGGCAGAGATAATATGAAGAACGGAAAGAGTATCCATTACTCTTATTAGTAGTGACTATGTGACACTGCACTGTACCGCCTCTTTGATCGTAATCACACACACACACATATATGTTTGTATATATATGTATGTATATATATATATATATATATATATATATTTTGCATACATAAGCTGCAAATACATTCCAAGGGAATGATGTAAAGATAGATTATGATATGCAGGGAGGTGACCGGAAAGATGTATTCTTCTATCAAGCTGATGATCAGCACTACATACCAAGAGCTTTACTTATTGACCTGGAGCCCAGAGTCATCAATGGTATTCAAAATAGTGAATATCGAAATCTCTACAACCACGAGAACATCTTTGTTTCAGATCATGGTGGTGGTGCTGGAAATAACTGGGCTAGTGGATATCATCAGGTTTTTGTTTTCCATTATTTTCCCTGTAGTTTCGAAATCATCATTTGAGAAACCTGCTGATATTCCTTCTATGATATTAACTTTGTACACAACAAAGTTAATGCGACTTGCTTCTTAAAATTATAAGCTGTCCATGTGGCATCTTATTAACATTGATTTGAAGACCTGATCAGGGAAAGGGTGTTGAAGAGGATATAATGGACATGATTGACAGAGAAGCAGATGGAAGTGACAGTCTCGAGGGTTTTGTTCTATGCCATTCAATTGCTGGAGGAACAGGATCAGGTATACATGTAAATAAATCTGCCAAAATCAAAAGGGCATATACTAGAATAAATAAAAATTAAAAGAATTCTGAGGACTAGAAATGTGTAAATAAATGTTTATTTACTTCCCTACTTCTGTACTGGAGTTTTACCACTTGATATAATGCAGGCATGGGTTCATATCTCTTGGAGACTCTGAATGATCGCTACAGCAAAAAACTGGTTCAGACGTACAGTGTTTTCCCTAACCAGATGGAAACAAGTGATGTTGTAGTCCAGCCTTACAACTCACTTCTGACTCTCAAGCGGCTAACACTCAATGCTGATTGTGTTGTTGTTCTTGATAATACTGCCTTGAATAGAATAGCTGTAGAACGCCTTCATCTATCAAATCCAACCTTTGCGCAAACAAACTCCTTGGTGTCTACAGTAATGTCAGCTAGCACAACCACTTTGAGATATCCAGGATACATGAACAATGATTTGGTTGGTCTCCTGGCCTCTCTAATTCCAACACCAAGATGTCACTTTCTAATGACAGGATACACTCCACTAACGGTTGAGCGCCAGGTATTTCTTTCTGTGCTTGTAACTAATTTATATTATATGTTTTATGGCTTCATTATCCCTCAACTGAATTTTTTGAGCATTATCAGTGACTGTTGATTTTACAATCATCCTCTAATTTCAAGTTGACATGGTTAAAGTTGGGCCTTCTTTGCACAGATTTGTGTTTACACCTTTTCTTATCATGTTTTTGTAGGTGTTTGGTGTCAATTGTTTGTGTAACCGCTCTTGTTTTTTATTATTTATCATTTGGCATGTTTGCTTGTAGCAGTTTTTGGCAATGTATAATCAAAATTGTGAGTATCTACTATGTAGGCTAACGTTATAAGGAAAACCACTGTCCTGGATGTGATGAGAAGACTTCTGCAGGCAAGAGTTTTTGGTTGACTTTTTTTTTTTAAATAATCAAATTTGTGCCTTTCATCTGACATTATGATCATTTTCAGACAAAAAATATTATGGTCTCCTCTTATGCTCGAACAAAAGAGGCTAGTCAAGCGAAATACATATCAATATTGAATATCATACAGGGAGAAGTGGACCCTACACAGGTATTGATGGTTAAAATGCCAAAAAAATGAAAGACAACTGGTTTACTACAAGTTTGCAGTTGATATATTTTGATGTTTCCATTATGCTATAGGTTCATGAAAGTTTGCAGAGGATACGTGAACGGAAGCTCGTGAATTTCATTGAGTGGGGCCCTGCCAGTATCCAGGTTTCATTTAATTGTAAAAGCAACCTATTTTGATATCATTTTTTTCCTTACTTTTCTGCATTGATTCATATGAACTAATATGCCGACTTGATTTAGGTTGCACTCTCACGAAAATCACCATATGTACAAACTGCCCATAGGGTAGGACTCTTCAGATCCCTTTTTAACCTCATCTCTTTCTGCTATTAATTTGGCTTTTTGTCATTGTTAAATTTCGATCTTTTGTTATCTGTTCTATTTCTTTATTTATTTGTATAAAACAATGAAATGCTCACTGAAAGAAATAATTTTCAGGTGAGTGGTCTTATGTTAGCTAGCCATACCAGCATCCGGCACCTCTTCAGCAAGTGTTTGAGCCAGTATGAGAAGTTGAGAAAAAAGCAAGCTTTTCTTGATAACTATCGGAAGTTCCCAATGTTTGCTGTAAGATTTCTATTCCAACATTTTCTTCTCCCATTCAAGATTTATTGTCTGTTCACTGGCCTTATCTAGTTGATCTTATTGTGTCAGGAATAGATATTTTAATGAATTTAGGTTAACCATGCATTAGTTGACTGGTCTAGCGTATTGAATTCTGTGGATTAGTACCTTCCTCGTGAATTTTTTCATTGCACAAAGTCTAAATTCAAAACAAACATTAAAATTGGACAGGACAATGACCTCTCAGAGTTTGATGAATCAAGGGATATAATTGAAAGTTTGGTTGATGAATATAAGGCTTGCGAATCTCCAGATTATATCAAATGGGGAATGGAGGTTGGTACCTGTATCGCTGAGCTGCTTCATTTCCTACATAGTATATGATTCACTTATATGTGCTTTTCCGATGCAGGATCCTGACCAAATTCTTACAGGAGAAGGAAATGCATCCGGGACAGCAGACCCAAGTTTAGCCGTCTAAATAGGTGAATAAGGTGATATGGAGTTTATTTTTGGCTCTAACAGAGGATGCTTAACCTTCTAATCACAGTAATGGGTCGTTTCTTGGGTTTTAAACATTGGTAGTCTGTTGTACAATGATATTATTGTCCCCATCCTCCGAACCCTGCATGACCTTCTGTAAGGAAACCCCTTAGGCCCTTACAAGAGGATTGATATTCAGAGAAACAATACAAAAGTCTCCCCAGCCACTTAGAGAGGGCTGGTTCTCTCCCTATACAAGACTTTCCAAAATAAACAAAGGATCCCAAAAGCATATAAACAAAAACTAACCTGAGGGGGTGGATTCTCTTCTTTACCCCTCTAATATAAGTATTCACTATTGGAGGTCTTACACCTGACTGCTAAACATCTATTTAAAAAAAAAAAATCTGGTGCAAACTTACAAGGTGATAGGATGCCAGCTGGTCTTCCAGAACTGGAATATATAGAAGAAAATTTCCTCCAGTTTCTTTGGGATTTTTTCTTTCTCTGGAGAATATGACCAAGCTGGCAAAGCATTTTTTAATTGTTTGAAGGAATTTGAATATAAGGCACTATTATAAACTTTAGATTTTATATGAAAATATGCCCCCTTCCAACTCCCACCCCCCAAATATACACATACAGACTTGTGCGCGCAGCACACGTATAAAAAGACAAATAATTTTAGGTTTTGTACTATGCTGTCACCTATATGTTACTCCTACCATAACTCATTTTCTTACGAGAGTTTTTCCATGTACTGCGATACATGATTGACTGCTTGAATTTCCTGATTGCAGGTCATGGTACTGCTTGTATTTATACTATCTGAAAATACAGATTCTCCCTGTATTGCTTCTTTAAATTAGGGGCCAGACTCCCACTATTCTAATCCATACCCGATCCTTTTAGGTCTTCCTTTTGCCTTTTGCGTCAATGGGGTTGTCTTCTTTTCTTGTTTATATGTTTTGGGAGGGTTTGTGTGGTGAAGAGTGAGGGTTGTGACATCATAGTTGAGAACTGCCATTGTTCATCCTACCATCCACATGTGGTAGGCCTTCTTACTTTAACATTGCATGTGGTGGGATTGTATTGCCATTTTCTACAGACCCCATCTCTGATTGAGAGTCTGAGTTGAACTGCATCTTCAAGTTGTCAACAATGTTTGAGAATTATTCCATTGTCACTTGCAGATCACTGGCTTTCTGTTCCAACTAAAAACATTCGGTTAGAAAATGAATGCCAGGTATTTTACGTATTCCCAATCTTCCATTACAGCATTACTTGATAACATTTCTTCGGGCAATGAAGATGTGTCGAAAGTCGCTCTCGTTGTCGATAGATTTAGTTCGAATTTTGAATTTCAACGTGCTTTATTTTATAGGATCCATAAATGATAATCCTGGCATGTGGTACCTGGCTGTGGGGGAAAAGAGATTGTTTTTGTTTGGCTTAGATTGTTTTGTTGTTTTTCTCCATTATGATTTCAACTTTTTCTTTTTTGGTATAAAAAATATCTTCGAAATGCAGGATAGGCTGAAAAAGACCAGTCTACGTCCGGGTTTGAAATATATACTGTTTGATTTTTTTTTTTTTTAATTTTTTTTAAATAGTGGTGGGAAAAAAAATCAAATTGCATGTTGAGTGAATTGGATGATGGGAGGATTTCTGAGTGATTGTTTAGTAGTCTATTTTACAAAATGGTTTTTGAGATTTATGATGAAGTAGGTTTGTAAAGACGAGATTGTTACGTATTTGAATCGCTATTTATTAGATAAATGTTATTAAAAAAGGAAAAATAATTCAACATTAGGTAATTTTAAAATCTCTACTCCTATGTGTGAATTAATGGATAGAAACAAATTATTGTACTATATGCTTTGTTTGAATTATTTATATATATTATTTTTCAATGTTATTTTTATTAGGTTGACATGATTTTAACAATCAATTTTAATTAAACAAATATATTCTACAAAATGAACAGTTACAGAACTCAAGAAAATCTGCTACAAAAAATTAAAGACTCACAAAATTAAGATTTCTCGAAGTAAAAAAAAAAGAAATGGTTTCAAAATACGTGTAACGGAACAAGAAAGCTTTATAGCCGTTAAAGGTGGTTGAAATTGAAAACGTTAGGGTTAGGGGAGCGGGGACCCACTATATACAGTTTTGATCAACTAATAAATGGGTGCCAACTAAGTTTACAGGCTGTCAATTTGGGCCCACCACATGGCCCTGTAATCATATATTCTCAACCAAAGAGAATATATATATTTGTCAAGTTACAACTAAGCAAATTAGAGATTATTTTGAATGATGGTTTCTCTATTTTATAAATTATATTCTTATAATTTTGAAACAATTTTAAACATACAAAGTACAAACCATATCTTTCTATCCATTAATTTAATTAACGAAACTGAAAAATATAACATTAAAAGAATATTCCATGAATGCTAATCATGTTTTTAGAAAAATAATACTAAAATTTAAATTCAAATTTTATGCTTTCAAATTTTTTGTTTGTTTTAATTTCTAAACTCACAAAACGTCCCTCTTACTTTAAATATTTTCAGTTTTTGTTTATTTTATTTTTTTGTATTTTCAAAACGTCTATTTTGGTTCCTATACTTGAATGTGCTTTAAGTCTTTATCTATTTTGGTTATGTACTTTCATAACATATATTTTGATTCCTATAGTTTAAAAAGTACAAGATCTTATGAATATTTTCTAAGGTGAGATAACCAAAACATATCAAAATGGCAAGTAAAAGTACTAAAATGAACCTTTTAAAAGTAAGTTGAAAGTACAAAGACTCACATACAATTTTAAAAGGAAGATATTATATCTAAAATCTTTTAAAATATATATATTTAAAATGGAAAAGATGTGATTTTAAAAAAAAAATTGAAAAAAAAAGGTATAATTCGTAAATGAGTAGTTTTCCTTTTTTTTTATTTTTGTTTTTGTTTTGGGAATAAAGAAAATTGAAAAATATAAATAGAAATTGTGGAGCCCACTCATATTCGCATTCAAATGTGCATTTGCCGGTTTCTTCTGTGTATAAAAGGAAATCACCACATTATCCTCCGCCCCCAACTTCTCTTCTTCCTCTTCCTCTCAACAATTTTCTCTCATCATCCCAAATCTCAATCGAGCGTCGTCTCATCGGAGGTTGCAGAGATTTGTTTCGAGAGGAAGAGCAAATCCTATAATGGCGTCCTCCATTTCCACTTCTAGGGCTTTCTCCAGCCTTTTCACCGCCTTCGCCCTCATCTTCTTCATTGTATCGCCACTTGTTGACGCCCACTCCTCCGCCCCTGCTCCTGCTCCCGCTCCTGCAAGCGACGGTATCTAGATCCCACCTCCTCCTTTTGATTTCTGTTTTCTAATTTTGTCAATTGCATTTTTGTTTTTCTTCTCTCTTTTGGGGATTTCTTCGATGTTTACGAAGAAAAATAGTCCTTCCGATTAGGGATTTCTGTTTTAGAAGCCCTTGCTCTTGTAGCACAAGTAGCCAGTGAAATTCGTTGACAAATGTGTGTGAAAACAGGGACCTCCATAGACCAAGGGATCGCGTACGTGCTGATGCTTCTGGCCTTGGTTCTCACATACCTCATCCACCCTCTCGATGCATCTTCCTACAACTTCTTTCTCAATTGAATTCTAGGAATGTAGCAATGTTGGCGCTATTTCTGCGACCTAGAATTTGAAGATGCGTTTGTCGATAATTTCATTGAAGGAACAAGGCCCAACTTTCTTTCCCATTCGTCTGTGATTAATGTAGGTTGGAGAGGAATGTGCATATTGGTTTTGACAGATTTTGATCAGTTGGCTATTTCTTGATTGTTTATTTGATGATTACCCTTTCACTTTTATCACAATTCATTCTTTGGATCCATTTGGCTTTTGCAGTCCGAGTCTGCGTATTGTTTGATTTTGACTTCAAAGAGTTTCAATACCTCATTCTTTTTCTAATACTTATTGTAATCTTGGGGAGAATAGGGCCTTCACGTTGTGATTGAACTCTGCAGAGGTTACTTAGCTTTTTCAATGGCTAAGCCAACCACGAACAATAAAGATGGATTTAGTTCTTTCATCTTATTTTATTTATCTACTAAAAACTGATACAATTGCTGAAATTTTCAATGGATAAGTCGCATGAAGCAAGTGTGAAATATCTTCTTCATTCTTTGATCCAACATTCATGTACATCTTCATGAGTTAGAACACCTAAATTTGCGATTGAACAAATTTTTGGTGGAAAAATGGACAATGAGATTGAGATTGGGATTGGTATTTAAATTTACTTTTCCGTGGAAAGGGGAAAAAATGAAGATTTTTATTCCTTTAGAAGTTGCAGTCTGTGGAGAGGAGATTTCTTCAGCTTACATGGGGACATACCAAGTGACTCCCCCTCCCTCTATTTATTTATCGTTTCTTCAGGGTGTCTGTGATACAAAGCATACTTGACGAGTTCGTAGAAGGAGACGACTATTCCGACGGAGGGACCAGCACGGCCAACACGGGGGCCAATTCCTGTAAACATTCCTTTCGTTCCTCCATCCCTGTACCAAAGCTACCAGTTTCAATTGTCTAAGCATAATGGAACTCATGGCAACAGAACGATATACCGTCGTGCTTGTAAAATGGTTCGGAATGGTTTTGTCTAACACGAAGAATAACTATTTATGGCAAGGGGAACCTTGATGCTAAGATTGCTGCTTACCTCCAAATTTCTGCCAGAGTTGTTCTTGTAGTCATCTTTAATGCCCTTTCAGGATCTCTCTGAAAAATAGCAAAAGAAACACCAGCTGAGCTGACAACCAAAAGTGAAATGCTTACTCTTGAATTCGTAAAGGTAGGTTGGAAAACTCTTCATAGTTTGATGAGTTTTATATAGCTACAATTAAGGAAAGACGAGTCTAAGACATAGTCGTGACAATAATCGGGTTTCAGTCCATAGAAACCCGTATAGATGAAGGGTTATATGATCTTTGAACACAAAGATAGCAGTTGTTCCCCAGCCAATAAAAGAGGGTTCAGCTGAATAGGGGGCTGAAAAATCAACCTCCAAGAGAAAGCAATCCAGGAAACATAACTATAAACTTGAAGAAGCTCTTAGTAAGGATAGAAACCTCGATTTGTCTTCGGGTTTTCGCAACATCCAGTGGACATGTTGCAGCAGCTGCGAGACTTCCAGCAACAAAACCAGCAGAGAAATTTGCACCAAGCACGCTGGCTGCATTCGCTTCATCGTCAACTAGGCCTAGAATTTTCCTCCTTAACTGCAAAGCAGGTAGAAAGAAAAGCCAATCACAATCTTGAAGCATACCAGGTATAAAGCATTACCATAGTTAAAAATGTGTTTTTCAAGCAGCTTTCCCGAAAATTTCTCACAGGTTCAAGTGTTGCCCAGCAGATGGTAGAGAACGGAACGTCTCGAGCAAGTTGTGCACCAAGGCCGGTCCATAAGATACGATAATTCTGCACTGTTAGAAATGGAATCAGTAATCTATAGAACCATACTAACTTCTACAAGTTTTAACTGTACATCAAATACTTCTTGACTGTTACCATCATATTCTCTTTGCTAAAACATCATAAACAAGCGGCATTGTAAAAGTACTTACGATCTTGAAGGCGACTACTCCTGACCGGGTTTATAACCTCAACCAGTGTCTTCCACACCCCTGGAGGCTTAGTGGCAGTTTGGTTTTCTATAAACGCCTTGGAGAGGGAAGCAAAAAAATGAATTACGAGCTCGAGATATGATGTAGGATTGTAGCATATGGTCACATATAAACCTAAAATAAGAAAAAATCTATGTGCAGAAACTAATACCTGCATTCGAGTCCGCGCAAGTTCAACAGGGTAACATGATATACAAGCTAATGAGCGTGCAATTGATCCTGCAACTAACGGAACGTATGGAGTCAAACCCGGAGCATTCTCGGTTGTGAAATCTTCCATAAAATTGCGGAAGATATCATAACAAGGCATGTAGATCCCAACCTGGTACGCACGAGGAAGGAAGCACAAAATCATCAGTAATGTAACCACTGAAAGTAAGGATCTCAGCTCAAAATGTATCTTGGGGCAAATGTCAGGGCGAGCGAAACTCACAGTCGGCACAGCCAGAGTTAAGCTCGCATATGTACCTCGCCACAGCCTCGCAAAGCCTTCCTGCAAAAACTTTCGTTCTCTCATTCAAACACCGACGAAGTATCATCAAATACACTAACAAAACGGGCGGGGATTACAACAAGTAGGGAAGAAGCAAATTGATCACAGCCAGAGCCTATCTAACCAATTCTAACACTACTACATTACACAGACTATGGAAGCTACAATGACATCCATTAAACTTATGGATGATCTAATCAGCCATTAATGCAGAATTTGGTATACAATTGACATTAATCTCAACTAACCTGACGAATAACCTTGTTAAACACATCAAATGTTCCCTTATACCGATTACACTCTAGAGAACAATCGGGTTCAAGGCCAAGAAGATCCCGTGATCCCGATGGCGAGCATCTCAAATTTGGAATCACCTAAGGAATAACCAAGCAAAAAATTAGTAAAAAATGACCCCAAAAGTATAAAAAAAAGTGCATACTATTTCTCATATGAACAATATTGAAAGACACACCGTATTTGTTTCTAAGCTTGTGAGCCGGCATTGGCCTTGGTATGGAACTCCAGCAGCTTGGGCTTGCAACCTTGTCTGCAGTGACATAATCAAAACGAAGCACAACCTTAAAATTAATCACAAATTTGCAACAGCAGAAAGTAAAGCAAATTGGCATCCTTCAATGGCCCTGAAAATCCAAATTACTTTAGCGACGTCGAGGGGATTAACGAGGACGGCGGAGAGGACGGCGGCTCCAGCGGCGGAGAGGGCTCTCTCTCCGAAACCCAATTTGGCGTCGGAGAGGGAATTGGAAGGGTGGGGCTGCTCCGAGGGGCCATTTTTAGCGCCTCTGAACATGGGCTCCGATAGCAAAATCAACCCGGGTCGGCGCGAAACTCGTCCACCAATCTTGTAATTTCTGTTCTTCGTGATATGAAAAGAAAAATTGTGGGGAAATGGGGAATTTCCAGAGAATAAGACGTCTGGAATTGGATGAGTTTTTCTTCGTTGGATGCCACAAATTTATGGGAAGACGGGTCGACGAATTGGAATAAATAACAAAGAAAAATTGAGGCGGTTATAGTATGATGATCAGGACGAAATCGAAGAGGAAAAACAAATATAAAGAACACAGATACATAGAAATTTCATAAACAAAGAAAATTTTCATGGAATTGAATTTTGATGGAAAACGGAGAGTTAACGTGGGAAGGTAAGGGATTCGTGTCGTGGCCAGAAGGGCGCCAAGCAATTGGGGAGTCTTTTGCATTTATTCTCAATTTTTCCTCTCGGAATTATTTTAAAGAGATCCAAGTAAATTATTTATAGGGTAAAATTATATTATGCTTGTTATTTCTTTATCTTTCACCCGGTAAAATTATCATTATGTTCAGAAGAATCAAACGAATCTTTTTATTTAATTTAAGTATGGGCAATTCCACCATGAAAGCTGAGCCTAGTCATATTTCACCCTTTGACCAATCTTTCTTACGTGCGAATTGATTTTGAAGAGCACCTACATGCGTGGACACCATACATGTTCTTCGACAAGACACTACGATTTTCGAATAGTAAGAGAGTCATTGGAGTGCTGTTAGAAACTCACATTTATGAATAAATAATCTCACCTCCCACGCAAAATATATGAAACAATATTCTCTCTTGAATATTAATAGGATTGGGTATTGACATATTTCTTTCATATGTCAGTGTACTTAGTCCAAGCTTCATGCCCAAACTTGATCATTTTCATGGACAAATGTCTCTACTATCTTGAACATAACTCAATATTTATTGTACTAAAAGAATTAGTTTAACCTCTCTGGTTGTTTATTAATATATAATTTAATGAAAACATAATCTAAGTTGATTTTTCCATTCATCTAGTAATTAAATATAACGATGAAAACAACTGGGGGCCAAAAAAAACCAGGTTCCTCATTGTCGTCGCTTTTATACGACTCTATTCTTTTTTATAATGATTTAAATTGCTGACATTATAACATTTTATCTCAATATTAAGTTATTTTTATTCGTGTTTTTAGTTTAATATGGTTGATTAGATCAAATTATCAACTTTAAAGTATGAAATAAGGAGAGTTTAAAGAAATAAAAATAAGGTGTAAAATGGGTAAAATTCCATAGTTTTGTTCTAAATTTAAAAAACAAAACAAGACACCACAAGATTAAGATCAACTACAAAATATAAAAGTGAATAACCTTTTCCCCCCTTTTTTTTTTAATTTTCACTTAAATTTCATGTGTTTTCTTGATTCGTAAGATACTTTATTTATATGTAATTTTGGATAACATACGGTGTAACTAACTGGACATTAATAATAAGTAGCACAAGACACATGGATTATAAGAATGTGTATCTATTATAATAATAATGTTTATAATAAGTTTTAATTTATCCGTCAATTTATAAGAATGATATTGGGTTTGTTTTCGAGGAAAAAAAAAACAAAAGAAAAATAGAGAGAATGATGTTGGGCTCGATCCAGTTGCATTCTTAAATACCAAAGCATTTATAAAGGCCCAACGAAAGCCCAAAAAACATGGAATTTAAGNATGGAATTTAAGTACAGCCCAAAAAAGGAAGATCAATGAAACGTTCCAAAGACAAAAACGATTTTTTTTTGTCTCCTTCAAAAAAGAAAATAAATTTTTTTTTACCATTTAAAATTAGAGATAGCAACACAGGTGGGTCTCTTTATTGACGACTCATATTACAATAATATCTAAAATTTATAGATTTTTCATTATTGTCCCACAATTAAAATTTAATAGAATTTTCATTGTTGGCCCATCAATTTGATGGTTTTTTTTTTTTTGGTTTTTTTAATATATATATTGGTGGGTTTGGTTTTATTATTATGGAGCAAGAATTTGCTGAATGGGCTTCGCTGTCTCACGTGGAGATTATGAAGGTCTCTGTGCGTATGGTACTCACCAGTGTCGTCTGCTCCACCTGATTGCTCCCCACAACTTGTTTTTCTGACCAATGGGCCCTTTTTGTTTCAAATATTTAGAAATTTTAAACCTCAAACTCACAAAATATCTAATAACTTCTACTTATACTGATAATTCACTAATAATTGTTTAAAGATTGGATTCAAAATACTCCAAAAAAATATCGCCTACAGGTCACAACAAAGGCCTTCAAAGTATTTTAAACAATTAATATTTAGGAATATGAATGAAAAACTCACAAGAATCCAGATCTAATTACCCCGAATATGTCATCTTGATGAGCCTCTTCCTTGAAACTGCCACGAAACTTTGTGAAAAACGGCTCAAAATCGACTAGACAATATTTTTTGGCTACAAAATCCTAAACCCGAACATCAATATTTATAAACATCGAAACAGCGTTATGGCACTATGGACGCAAAGACACGACCTCAAGGACAGCACCGAGACGCTGTCTTATCGGTCTAAGTGGCCTGCAGCGACTCGCTTCCCTGTTTTTCATCCCTGCTTCGATCCCAACGCGTCCCGACTCGATCCTGACTCATCCCTAGCTTGTTCCAACGTCGTTTTGACTCCACCAATCACTACACTTTTAACGTTATGTTTTATGAATTCTTGAACTTTAAAACTTATCAATTAAATGCTTGAACTCTCAATTTTGTGTCGGGTAGACTATTTTTCAAGAAGATTCATTTGTTGATGGAAAGATATACCATAAATGTTTTGAAGTTTTGAGACTTAAACATAGTAATTCAATAATAAAACTTGTAATTTAACATTTAACATTTAAAATGTTTATCAATATATTAAATATTTATATGATTATAGTGCAACATCGATGTGAGATCATTTAACTGGTGAAAGACTTGTTTATTAATTTAAGTTTTTTTATATGAACAATTTTCTTCGTTTTTATGATCGTTTTACAAATATTGATATTATATCAATATTTTATCACTATCGACATTCATATAAAATGAAGTTGACGTCTGACTTCAAAATCGTTGTTCCTCGCATCCTAATTTTCACAATCTCTACAGACATTACAGATTACTAAGGATAGTTTTTTATACGATTTTTCAATAAATATCATTCAAATTAATTTAATCCACTTTCTAATTCTTGTAATTTTCGTGCTTATTATTTTTTCCACGTCACGAGTAAATCGTTTGGGCCTAGACTGCAATTATTTCTGCGTATCCAGGTGTTTATGGCCCACCAATATAACGTACGATACGAAGGAAATTATTGAATAGATGGGCCCGGCCCATTTTAGGAGTTCAAATGGAGGCCCAAATCCCCCCCTGTCGGTTTCCACTTTCCACTATCCCACGTGATCTCTCTCAATTTTGTCACAACTGATTTTGGTCGGTAAAATTCTACAAATTAAAAGAAGAAAAAAAAAGGAAAAAACAAACAAATTTACATCACAATATTTTTATTTGGTTAATGAATTGCATTTTAATTGTCAAGTAAAACGGTACCCCTCGTACGTCAAATATCTCTACAATGATATGATATTGTTCGCTTTGGACATAACCCTCACGACTTTACTTTTAATTTTATCCAAAAATCTCATAATACCAATACTGATATTATTGTCTTCTCTTATATAATATAGATCACTTTCTTTTCTAACCGAATAGAACTTTATTTGCACTATTTTACAAATCCAACCATTATCATTAAAAAGAAAATTACATAAATACCCAAAGTACATTTAATATTAATGTTAAGGATTATGGTATCCTAAAAAACTACAACATTATGCATTTTTCTCCTTTCTAATCTAAAAAAAAAACAATCATAGAAAAGGTTTTAAACAAACATAATCATTATTAATAGTTCCTTGGATACTCTACCTATTTCTCTCTCTTTGAAAAAACATTCTAAAATAAAAGAGAAAAGAAGGAAATAATTAAACTCAAAATGAGAATATTGGAAAAGGATACAATTCATGGGTAGAAGCATGATGGGTTTGGAATAATCTAAATTAAGCAAAGCAAGCATTGAGAGCATCTTGCAATTCTTTAAAGTCAAAATTGTGAGCTCGAACGGAATTAAATCGACATAATTTATCTATAATAAACAATAACCACTTTGAAATTAAATCTACACCGTTTTTTTGATCATTCTACCTAAAAAGTATTACACATAGCCAAATCTGAGCCTAGCTCAACAAATAAGGCACTTGTCACCTTCCCAATCATCAATGCTCCGATTTCTCACTCTAGATCGCGTTTGCATTTTCAATATAGCCGCTTTGGAAAAGGACTTGTGATGGAGGATTTTGGCTCATTCTCTCTTATTACCCTCTTCCATCTTGTTTGAAATTGTTGTTGTGTGAATTGAGAAGGGTTAAAGGACAGTGAGAGATGGGCTGTAAAAGGTGTTGGGCAGGACAGAACAATCCCCACCACAGAGAGACCCAGACAAGAATCAGTGCTGTGCTGTGTAGATGACACCAAGGAATGGTTTTTTCTGTTACTTTTTTGCAAGCAAGATTGCAACTTTTCCCTCACCCTCTTTTCACTTTGCTTTCTTTTCTTTTTCCATAGGGATAAATATAGTGTAGTAATCTTGGTCCTTTCACCTTCTATGGTCTCAATACTACCCATTATTTATTCTTTTTGACCGTTAAGAAATTGCAAAACTTTCTCAAAATAACAAAATTGATCTCTTGAAAAGCATGTCTCTATTCAATTCAAATTTATTTTTTATCTCATTTTTTTAACTATTGTAGGACCCCACATAGCAATTATGTGATGATTGAAGTAATATGTTGCTTTTTTGGAAACTTAACCAACCAAGAGGGCTCGACTCAACCAAGACTACATATTGGGTCAAACATCAGCTATCTAATAATTTTATTAGAAAGTCAATGACCAGCCAATTTTATTGAAGCATAAATTCCCAAGAACTCCCTACTCTTAGCTATCTACTTATAACTCTACAAATGACACTCTATATAGAACCAAGTATACATTTGTAAACATATAAGTACATCATACTCACCCACTTTTTTCAAATAATTATTCCCTAGCTGAAACACTAATACAAGTACTAAAACTTTCTTAACTAAGATCATATAAACGTGTATAAAACGAATGAATAGTAATGATTAAACTCGAGTCCGAAAGTATATAACAAATAATACCGATGCAATTATTGATTGAAAAAACAAACTTTAGTTAAGGAAAAGAGATTTGTTTTCCCCTAAGATGGTTGCATTATCATAAAACACAACACACACTATTAGAATTGTGTAGGGAGGATGGGAGAATTGGAATAAAGGGGTAATTAGAAAGAAAAAAGAAGGAAAAAAGGAGAGGGTGAAAGTGAAGGGTCCACAAGAAACCTCGTACCAGTTGTCTGCAGTTAGAGGGCTAAATTATATTCCAACATTATAACATTTATTTCAAAAGCTAACAATGACAGGTGTGCATTGCCTCTTCAATCATTCCCTCTCTCTCCCTATTTTGCTTTTTCAACTTTCCAAATCAAGAAATCAATTCTAATTTCTCATTAATTACCCACACAATCTTATTTGTTTGGTCTTAGTCTAGTTAATAAATCATTTTTACCTCTTAAAAGGTCACTTGTAAAGGGCACTAAATTGAAATTGAACTCACATGGTCGAGTTAGGTAATTTGACGTAATTTCTTTATTTTGTTTTGTCAAATACAATATTCAAAATATTCGGTCAAATTTCAAAAAAGCAAAAACAAAATAGAATATCAAAACCTACCCACTTTTATTGAATATCTCAAAACTAAAAAATAAAAATAAAAAAGGTTGAGGAGTACATAAAGTTGCAACTAACTCTATTCAATTTGCATACAATAGAACTCACTCCAAAAATGAAAATAAAAATAAAGCACAGACAAAAAATACAATTACAACACGAAAATTAAACACAACAAAATTAAAAAAAAAACAAATCAATCAATAAATAAAAGATTGCAAAACAAAAACCTCACAGTCACAGTCACAGGCACGTAACGTTAGCATTTCCTGTTTCGCACGTACGAAGGATCACAGCTGGTTCGCGAGTGCGTGAGTTTCGGTTCAGTTGAGTGCGATACTAAAGGCTGGATCTTGGAAGTAATTCTCTACGTCCCATTTACATGATCCGAAATCCATCGATATTTCCCCGAAATCTTCGTATAATTTCGGTATAGCCGATTCCATGTCCCCGAAATACATCGGTTGCGGACTTCTCGAATTCAACAACAATCCGTTTGAATTCCGATCGTATAACCAATTGAATTCGTCCTCCACCCCTGATTCTTCGCTCACCTCGTTAATGGGTCTCCAATTTTGCTCCGACATCGATTCCGCCCCCGTTCGGAATCGAAGAACCGAAGTCGGAGACCCAGATTCCGTCGCCGTCGTCGTCGTCGTCTGGATTTCCGACTTCGGGGTTTTTGGCGGCGGAGTGGGAAATTCCGGTGGGGTAGTGGGAGTGGGAGGTACCGGAAAATTGGTTAACGCGTCGGGGCCTCTGAGGCGAACGGCGGCCCGGTCGTAAACGACGGCGGCTTCCTCCGCCGTGTTGTAGGTTCCGAGCCAAATTCTGGTCCGCCGGAACGGGTCTCTGATCTCCGCCGCCCATTTCCCCCACCGCCGTTGCCTGACTCCTCGAAATTTTCTACTCTCCGCATTTCGCGGCGGATTGACTCTCGATTTCGCCGGCGCTCGCCTCGAACAATCGCTTACAAGTCTGATCTCGGTGACGTGGCGCTTGACGTGGCGGATGAGCAGTGGCTCTTCGTCTTCCCCACTCGACGTATCCGTCGCATCGCCGTCGGTGTACGAAATCCGAACAACCTTCGTTTCAGTCGCCAGAAACTTCGCCGCCGTCACCTTGTGGGTGATGGTTCGGACTTCTCTGAACTTAATCCCGCCGGAACAAACTCGACCCATTGCTGGGTACCCAAATTTCACCACACTTGGACCTTGTAACTCAAAATTCATAAAAAGAAAATGGAAAAAAACAAAGAACAAGATTTCTCAGTAACGAAATTTGCAGAAACAGAATCTTTTTTTATTTTTTTGGAAACGAAAGTTAAAAGAAAGAGGAATCAGAGAAGGTTCTGTGTCTGAGCAGAGCAGAGCAGAGGAAGAAAGCGAGAGTCCCAGTCTTATAGGAGTGTCGTATCCTAATTTTTTATTTTTTTAAATTTTCGAGAAAATGTTTTAAGTTATAAGCGTTTATTAATTATTATAAATTTGGAAGATTAGAGTCGCCGCATATTTTATCAGAGCATTGCGCTCTCGACACGTGGCCGTTCTACCTTCAGTCTCTCCATTTCTTATTTTAAGTGTGAAAAGGGGGCAGATATTTTGTTGGTTAGTGCTCGCTCCTTATTAGACACAATAATAAATATTTTTACTTGTTCTTTTTTTGTCTCTTCCATTGTAGAATTCATTTTATTTTCTGTTTTTAGTTAACATAGATGGAAATGTGGGGTAACTCTTTAAATGTTTTTTCATCTTTAAGCGTTTTTCTATGATCCAATTTTTTTTTTCTTTTGGGTAACAAATGGTTTAATTAGCGTAGAGTTTGTTGAATTGACAGAGAATGTCAAAAATTTTTAAATCCTATGGCTATCTAGATTTTAGTTAATATTTTCTAGTAGATATTAATTTATATTATTTGCTTGGGTCAAGCATCATGTAGTCCAAAGACATTAAAGAAACTGTCATTCTCATTAGATATTATCACAAAATTCATTCTCTTCACGTGATCTTTCCATCATCCTTGGGTATTGGGTTTAATGAAGTTGCACAGAAGATTTATCATACAGAAGAAACAGGCGATTAGATAGAAGCCACCACGTATTTACTTCTTTTATTTATTTTTTTATTTTTTAATGTACACTAATATTTTGTGTACTCTAAGTTGATGGGCTCCTGACTTTCGTATCTTAAAATTAAACCGACAAATTATATTTTTCTCAATCTCTTCTCTTCAAATTAACAATGCTTAATTTAAGAAATCACTTGGGAATAGCCTTAAAAATGACTTCACTCCTACATTAATTTAGAACAACGCTTTGACAGTTTCTTTTTCCTTATGTACTTGATGTTTGGATTTAGCTTTGTAAATGAATAGAAAATTTGAAAACTAAATGATTAAAAATGAGATACACATGTTTGGATTAGAATACGGTACTACTTGAAGCCATAAGATTTACAGAATGCGTTTTTATTTTATTTATTTATTATCTAAAAGTAAAAAGTAACTTTATTTGAGATTTCAAAAGTGGCTTCAAAGATGTTGGATGAAGCTTACATATTAAACCAAACGTCTTTTATTTTATTTTATTTTATTTTCCTCTATCTCTCTCTAACACACACACTAGTTGACAAATGTTGAGTAATGGTCCAAAATGAATTATTGGGAAGGTGAAGGGTCTCAAAACCAAACAAAAGAGAGCATGCACGTAATAGCCCTGTTGTTGGCAAAATTGCCAAAGTGTATGATGAATCTTCAATAGATATTATGTGCCTTGGGATTTAAGTTTTTTAGTATATGAACAGTTTACGACAATTATTGTCTGAAAGGGAAATCTGCGGTGTAGTTCATGCCTACCTACGTTTCGTTTAAAGGATAAGTTAGAAGAGATGGCAAAAGCAACTTAGCTTACCAAAGGACAACCCAACATTTAATAATGTCATTCTTTCTGGGAATAGGATGTAGGAATTGTCCCACTTTCTTTGTCAACCAAATTGCAACCCTTAATCTATTTCTATTGATAGAGAGAGAGAGAAAGATTAATAAATTGATAGGGGAATGGTAGGTGGAAGGAGCAGACATTTCATCCTTATTTGTCAACTAAGACAAGACAAGATCAAGACTTTTTCGTATGGATCTTTAAAGTTTTCCAGTTTGATTTCTATGTGAATCTTGAAACAACCAAAAATGTTTTCGAAAATTTATATATTACTTCAACTTGTGTGTCTTACGCTTACCCAGCCAGCATTTAGATCCCGTTCTACCAAACTAAAAAAAAAAAAAAAAGCCTAAGATTCGAGTACCTACAGGTTTTCATGCGAAAGAGTTTTGCAGCCTTTCTATTGTT